CATTTTGAGGCACAAAGTGGGTGGGTGAGGTTGGGAGCAAGGAAGAAAGAAGGTTTGGTGGCGGTGGTGGTTGATGGTTCTGGTGGTGGGTACTTAATGGGGGGGGTGAGGGGAGAATGGAAGCAAAAGGCAGAAGAGGAGGACGAGACATTTCCTCCTCTCTCCCCAGACCTCCTCCACCTCAATGCCACCTGGGATGCTCCCGGCCTAATAGCAAAGGCGGGCCGAAGCGATTGGGAGGGGGTTGAACAATCCTGAGCTGGGAGGGCAGGAGGATCTGCAGAGCGGCTTTGATCTCGTTTGGGCCCACTGGGTCTTCTGGATCACCGTCAAGACACTCCTTCTTCAACCTGTTGGCCTCCAGGGCAATGCGGTCGAAGAGGTCTTTAACAACAGAGTGGAGGATGGCCAATGCCCCCTTCGATAGAGGGGTCTGGCCATCGGACAGCTGCTGCCTCAGCACTTGGACCACATAGGAATCCCTCCAGGGCATCCTCCGGTGCCTCTTTCGGTGAGCTTTTCTCGAAAGTCTGCGCTGGGACATCCGGGCCTGCACTGGGGGCCCCCTCGTGAGAGTGTCGAGGGAACCGGAGGAACGATCTCCACTTTCCACGGTGCTGGTGGTTTCCTCGTCCATCGTGGTCTGATAGATTAAGATTGTGTTGGGTGGTTGGTCGGGTTTTTTTCCCTCCTTGATTTGCCTCAACCCTCCCAGACCCCCGGGGCAACCTGGCTTGAAATGCGCAAGCCAGAACCTCCCGCGGCCTTTTTATACGGCCCTGCCCCCTCCCCACACACGAGTCACAATGGGAGCCCCTGTGCACCGCCTTGTCTCAGTGTGATGATTGGGTCAAGCAGCACACAAAGGAAACTGGGACGCTGATGGTTTAAATACACTCTGTGTTGCTAGGGCAAGAGGCATGTTTAATTTGTTTAATCCACCAGAGTACGCGACTCTGTTCCAGTTCCGTAGGTCACCCCCCCCCACCTCTCCCCGCCTTCCCCCCCAAGTCCCAGCCTTCTGTTAAGCATCTCAGTCACTTTCTATGCAGGTGCAGACAAAAAGTTTACCATTCAGCCCCGTTTCTACAGGCCTACAGTTTCTGCAGATTATTAACTTCACTAGGGGTTTTGGTTTTAGGTTGGGTTGTTCTCAGTTCAGGCAGCTCAGGGATATAGTGCCGGCAAGCTGATGGATGAAGTGGTATTTGTCTTCTCCCCCGACAGACAAGCCAGGTTAGGAGATGGGCAGAAGGAGCAGGAAGGAATGGTGTCTTTATCCCCAGCAGACAGGAGAGGTTTCCTGTAGGCAGGAGGCGTCCCCTATAAGTGGGAAGAGACCAGTCCAAGAAACTGGCACAAGATGGAATGTCATTTCTCTGATTCTTCTGAAAGCAGGAAGGGATCCGGTCAGGAAACCGCACTCAAAGGAGTGTTGTTTCTCTGAGCACCTAGAAGCAAGAAAGGACCTTTTAATTCATGGAAGTGAGTGGGATGCCCCTATGAAGACTTCTCAGTGTAATTAAGCTTTGGGATAAGACTATCCTGAATTTGGAGATAAGTTTAGAAGACAGAAAAAGATAAGTATAGATTTCTATAGTTTCCTTGTTCTCACAGTCTGAAATCAATAGTTAAAGATTGCCGAGTCTGAAACCCCGCCTGTACCCCCCGCATTCGGTCATGGTGACCTTCCCACAGCAGCGTTTAGCTTGATCGCACATACTAAATTGTTCATTTTTGCAGTAAACTAAGGTGATGGATATGTATATTGTTTTTTTGTTCTCTGTCTCTGGGAATAGATTTTCGTGCATAGATTGTAAGCCAAATATTGAATAGTTGGTGGGAGGGGGAATTTTCCCCGTTTCTGCTATTTAATCTGGCTTTCTGCTTCTGTAATTTGTCTCTTTTCATTAGAAGCATGCTGGTGAGAGGACACCCAATTCTCGAGAATTGAAATAAACTTTCTGTTCCTACCTTGAGATACCTCTAAGAGTTTTTTGTTTTTTTTTTTTTTTGGTCGCTATCCCACACAGAAGCAACATGGATTTGTAGTTAGACGATTTATATTCAAATGCTAGCAAAAAACAATATCTCTGGGTCTCAGTTTCTTCAACTATAAAGTGTAAGGTCTCTTATAACTCTAAACCCATAATTCCCTCAAACAGTATAAATTAGCACATTTATTTTCTGAGCTACAAAAAAAGAAGAGTAAGACAAAGTTCCCTCAAGGATTTTTCTAATCAATGAGTCAAAAGAATTTATAAGCACTTACTACTACCAGGTATTGTACTGACGAAGGAGGATACAAAGAAAGGCAATAAAATATAGTCCCGCCCCCCTTAAGGGGGTACACATTCAAATTGGGGAGATAAGCAAACAACTACCTACATACAAGTATATACTGTGTAAACAAACGGGAGGTAATCTCAGAGGGAAGGCATTAGAAATGGCAGGGATAGGGAAAGTCTTTTTACTGGTGGTTTTGTGAGATTTTGAAGTTTGTTGAGTGAAATTTAACAAATGCATTCATTCACTAAGAAGGCACATTTCCATGGTCCAGTGGGGGCATATTATGTCTAATAGAAGGATAAGACACAAATAGCAGATTATGTTCGTACATAATATTAAATGAAAGGGACAAAACAATGTAAGAATTCAGTCTGGGAATGTCCTGTGGGGGCCTGGGAAGAGGTTAGTATATCATAACTCCCATTTGAATATTACAAAAAAGTACCAAAGTGGTGGAAGTGAGAACAATCAAAGAACAAGTAGATCAAGCAGGGACTTCAAGAATGTGGATTTTGAGTCGAATAGTCTTTCTTTCTTTTTCTTCCCTCCTTCCTTTCTTTTTGTATACATGTTAGATGCTTTGCAGAGAATAAGAATGTTCAGAAAAATTAAAAATACATACATTTTAGTATCCTATATGAAATAAAAAAATCTACCTCCTCATTTCTCTTGCAATCCAGTCTTCTTTTAATTCCCACTGCAAACACCTTAGTTCAAGTCCTCTTCACCTCTTGCCATAATTATTCAATTGATTCCTAATGTGGCTCTCTGCTGCTACTCTTCCTTCTCCAATTCATGCTCCACACAGATGCCTAATTTATATTCCTAAATCACATATCTTGCAATGTCACTTCCCTGGCTCAAAAAGTTCCATTTGATTCCCTTTTGTTTTGACATTCAAATCTCTATTCCATTTTTTCCAGGGTCCTCCTACATTCCAACCAAATTAAGTAAACTACTTGATGTTTTCCAAACTGGACAATCCACCTCCCACCTCTGTGTCTGTGATGAACTACATTTTTGAAATGCTCTCTACCTCAGAAACCCTTCAAGGCTCAGGTCAACTGCCATTGATCTCCCCTGCTCCCCACCCCCACCACTTTTAGTATCTCTCTGTGAAGTCATTTTGGTTTTTGTGTATAGTATGTGTTTGCTTCTCTGAAAACATTATTCTACTAATAAAATGTAAAACCATTCAGGGTGGACTGTCTTATTTTTGCATTTGTATCCATCCCATGCTGGGACAGCAAGGTGGCCCAGGGGATAGAGCCCTGGGCCTGAAGTGAGATGTTCAGATATGACCTCAGACACTTACTAGCTGTGTGACCCTGGGCCTGTCACTTAACCCTGTTTGTCTTAGTTTCCTCATCTGTAAAATCAGCTGGAGAAAGAAATGACAATCCACTCAGGTATCTTTGCTAAGAAAACCACAAATGGGTCACAAAGAGTCAGACACGACTGAATAGACTGAATGATAACAAATCCCCAGTCCATAAGTGCTTACTAAATGTTAGTTGATTTCATTGGGTTTGTTCATAAAAATTATAGTGCAAAATTATTTTTGTTCAGTTGAGTTTCTTCTATCAGGTTTGTGAAGCTTTTTAACAAAAAAAGTTAGGAAATTGTCTTAAAGGGAAAGGTACAGGGTTTTTTCATTCGAATGTCCTTCCACTTTCCCCATCCTGGTTCACAACCACTTAGAACACATTTTGAGCTCTCTGGCCTGGACAATTTATGACAACTCCCATGATCCCTTGCTTCTTAAAAAACAAACAAACAAACAACCAGTAACCTTTTGCGGCTGGGGGTGGATGTTGCGGGGGGGGGGGGGGATATTAATTCGTGAGTCCCTTTACACAATGAGCGGTGGACTACAATTCCCAGCAACCACTGCTTAAGGTTATTGCCTAGGCCCACGTCCTCTGCCTCCTGCCCCGAGTTGCTGTTCCGGGCTCGACACTCCTGCAGTAGCAGAGGCGACTTTTTTCTTAAAAGAGAAACGGCGGTGGGCACCTTAACAAGGCCTTTCTCCCTCTCTCCCGCCCCGGTGGCCTGAACGAGGGACTACAGGGGGCGCAGGCGCACACGGGGTTGGGGTGGGCGGGGAACACAGGTAAGAGGGGCAGGCGGCGAAAGCGTGTGAGAGAGAAACCGAGGTTGGAGGGGGAGAGGGTTTCTGTAGAGCTAAAGGGCCATTTCTGACCCTTAACTCCCACGCTAGACCGAACTTTAACTGGAGTGCTTCATAGCTGCCATTTATATCCTCGTTTCACTCTTAAAGCAGGGCAGCCACCCAGCCTCTATTGTGACGTCAAAGTTATCCGCTGCCGGACCCCCCACCCCACGCCCGATGTGACCTCGTACCCAGCAAGCGGAAGCCTAATCGTGGCGTGCTTAGAGGGGGTGGGCCTGGCTTGGGAAGCTGGGTCTGGGGCCGGCTGTGCTGTCAACT